GCCCTGGGTGACTTTCTCCGCTCCAGTCCGGAATGTGCTCCAGTTTTTCAATCTCCAGATTCAATCCGTGGAAGATTCCTAAACTGTCTTTTGACTGGGGGTGGGATTCGGTTCGTTGTTTGCTTTTTCCCGTCTTCCTGTCACACCTGGGTAGCCTCTCGCCAGGCTGGCTCTGGAAAGTCGCATGTTTGCTTTGAGAAAGCGGGGCGCAACGTTCGCTCTGGAGCGAAGCGCTCTGAAGGGGCGGCGGCGGCGGCTCCCCTCTGCGCTCCGTGTACTGAGTTTCTGAGGCTGGTAATGAAGTGGAAGCGTCCGTGTGGAATTCGGCCATATGGATGGAAGCTAGTTTCGTTCATCTGCGTTTTCATTCGAGTTCATTTTCTTTGTTTTGCTGGCAGAAGACACAGCAGGTAAAAGAAGGTAAAGGGACACGGCAGGACGCCTTCCGCCACGAGGCAGGATCTCAGGGTGAAAACAAAACAGAGCCCGGTCTGCAGAATCCTGCCATATTAATATGAGCACCTGCAAGAAATTGCCTATTTTTTCCCAACAGCATGCCTTTCTAAATTTTCTTAGAAGATCGTCTGCGTCAGGCCCCATATGGTAGAAGGCCTGTTCTGTTTTTTGTGTCTTATAGCGTGACTCTATGGAGAATTGGCTCCAATCTTTTTTTTAAGACAGATTACCCTCAAAGACCCTGATCTCTCTGTCAAGGCTACTGGTTTTGCTATGGAGGATTCAATACTGGGGAAGCAGCCAAGCAGTAAGATATTAGTGTGCAATGTGGAGGTTAGATATGGTGAACAAGCAAAGAAGTGTCCCGTCAGTAAGGGGCTGCAGAGCAGGTAGAGAGAGATCCAGCACTGCTTGTTTCCACTGTCCCCAGTCACCCTGTCTCTCCCTCCATCCCTCCCAGCTCTCTTCTGGCATTGTCCCCTGCTCCATCCCTCCCTACTCTCTCCATCCCTCTCTCTCTCCCTGCTCCATCCCTCCATCCCTCCATCCCCCACCACACCACCACATCCCTCTCTCTCTCTTTCCTGCCCAGCTGCTCGTGGCACCGGGCACACCTGTCTCTCCCTAATTGATACCACCTCATCAACACTAATTAGCCGGACGCAGGCAACGAGGAGGCGGCTAATTAGTGGACAAGCGGCGGCTGTCACTTCGGGCCAGCCCGATGTCCAGGGGGACGCCGGGCTGCTTGCCCTCGCATCTGCTTCCATGTCCTCCCCACTTTTCTGCCCCCAAGCCCCCCATTTTGGGGGGCTTTTTCCCGCCTCGATCCTCCCTGCTTGCTTCCCCGGGCCCTGTCACATCTCCGTCACGTCTGATTAGGGCGGCTCTGCACGCTGCCATCTTTTTTTCCGCTCTTTTCCCCAGAAAAAGACAGCGGGAGAGGAGGCTTTGAAGCCATGGCTGCGGCTGTCAGTCGCTCGCATTATTTATATCCGATCACATCAAAGACTCGCGCTTTTTTTCCTACATTTTTAGAAATTGTTTTTCCCAAGTAGGCGCGATGCTCTACTTTGCGGTGCAAGAAACTGTGTGGAGGGGGCGAAGATGGAAGGGGGGGGGATAAGATAAGTGGCATTAAAATATTAAAGCCTTATTTCACTTTTTTCTCTAGTTATATAATGGAAAACACACACGCACTCCACCACCACCTCCCTCTTTGCTATTCTCATGGCACTTTGAGAATTTTTTACTAGGTCAACAGCCGAGCTTTGGATTTATCAGGGCGTTTTGTGAAACGAGTGGTTTTAGTGATGTCGAGGCTAGAAGCACGATATGTTTTGTCTTTAAACAGCTAACACGCATTGCACACGGTACCCTGTCCTCAGATGCCTGGTTAGAGTGCGTTGTGCACAGTACCCTGTCCTCGCACACCTGGTTACTGTGCCTTGTGCACGGTGCCCTGTCCTCGCACACCTGGTCAGCATGTGAAGTGCACGGTGCCCTGTCCTCGCACACCTGGT